TTGGTTTTCTCCCGGATTCAATATGTTAATGAAATATTGGCAAAAGGCAGTGGAGCAATATTTGTCTTAGTCCAATCAGGCTGCTATCACAAGACAGCATACACTGGGTGGCTTATGAAGACACTTATTTCTCACAGTTCTGAGGCTGGGAAGTCCTAGATCATATCACCAGCAGATTCATACCTAGAGAGAACCCCCTTCCTTCGTAGTCTTCTCACTGTGACCTCACATGGCAGAAGCAGCAAGGGAGCGCAAGTCTGCTTTCATTTTTATAAGAGCCCTAATCCCAATCATCACCTCCCCAAAGCTCACCTCCTAGCATTATCACCTTGGGAGTTAGGATTTCATCATACGAATTTCTGGGGGGGACACAAACATTCGGTCCAAGGCAGTACACTTATTCCCTATAATTTCATTGTGTGAGGCAGGGGGAAAAGGTGGTGTGGGAAACATGAGAAGATTTGTAGACAAAGTCCCATGAAAAATTCACCAAGTTTTGACCATGTTTATTAACTGTCCTTTTTGAATAAAATTGTCGTGTTCTAGAAGTATTGTGATCCCCACCTTACAGGTGAGGAAGTTGAGGATCAGAGATTAAATGAATGATCAGAAGCTCCCAGTTAGTAGGAGGGCCTATTCCAGTTCTCACCCCTCTGCCAGAACCATCTCTTAGATTTTCATACTAGACAAGGCATTAGCCTTCAGTAGTGAACTAAAATATGAAGTATTAAATATTAAATATTCACATTTTCCCCTTGTGTTCAAACTCTCTGGGGCTGGCTCAACGTGTGCTGGCACATTTTCAATTGTGCATCTATGCCTAAGAGAGAGAAATACAACCTCCTTCCATAAAATACATGGACACAGAGAACTTCCTATCTCAGACAGAATCCACTAAAATTAGTTGCTAATGGGGCACCTGGGTGGCTCAATCAGTGAAGCATGCAACTCTTGAATTCAGCTCAGTCATGATCTCACGGTTTTTGAATTTGAGCCCCTCATCTGGTTGTGTGCTGTCTGTGCTCTCAGCACTCTAGGCACAAAGCCTGCTGGGATTCTCTCTCTCTGCCCCTCCCCTGCTTGCACTCAAAATAAATAAACATTTTTCAAAAATTAGTTGATGATTGCAAAAAAAAAAAAAAGACACCTTTGAGAATGTGCCTAACACTCTCCTTTAATGTCATTTTCAAGGGCCATAGCATCAATATTTATCTTTTTAGAAAACATCCTTAGTAACAGATCCTCAAGTGTTAAGGGCCTTTCCAAATAATAGAAACAGTCTGACCTTTAAAAACAAAATTTAAATGTCAAAAGATACATCCAAATTAATATCGAAGTTCTTTTAAAACATTATCCCAAAAGTATAGGTGAAAAATTTTGTAGATCCATACTTTCTAGACAGTCTGAGTTCTACAAGAATCAATTTGTTCAAGAGACCAACAAATCTGGGTGTAATTCATTTTTCTTTAATGATTATATCACATCTACATAGGCTTGGACTCTTATGGTCAAAGCCATAACCTACCAGCTGGTATCTCAAGCATGTGCAGTAGCCCATAATCTAATAATTTCCAGGCCCTTAATTACTTCAGTTTAACTATCTGCTTGAAGTTGGTAACAGTATGGCTCATTCTGCTTGTCGTCCGAGCATCTTCATTTACACAAAGCAGCACCCTTTACCTAAATCTTCACCAGGTTCCAACTCCAGGCCTTTCTCCCTAATATTCTTAGGATGGAGGCCAGGAAACCCTGAAAGCCTTTTCGACCTACCAAGGACTACAATAATGTGAGTGAGGCACTGATCTTGGGTGCAAAATTTTAAAAAGCACCAAAAACTCAGTTATTAAGATCAACATTTTAATGCAGTATTTTAAAAAATAAAGATTTAATGTAAAATCCGTGATAAATAAAATATCCAAATTTTAAGTAATTACTGATTTTTCCTTCAGGTGCCAAAATGGCTCTACACAGCACTGTTAATTAAAATTTTGACTTGGCATTCCTTTACAATAGTCATAAACGTTTTCCAACATATTCCCATTTTTCTATTAATGGAAGGTGCACTAAGTCATGCATTACCACCCCACCTCACCCCTTTTCTTTCCAAGTCCTTTGCCCAACAAAGGGGAAATTAAACTGAAAGCTATAAACTTCATGATAAACCTTATGGCAGTATTCTGCATCTCTGTTACTCTGACATAGGTCCTAAAGCAGCAAACAAGCTAATGTCATTCCCATTTACGTCTTTATATGGACTCCTACTCCATGTGCATTGGTGAAAAAAACATTCCCTATCACTTTAGAACTCAATGGACTCTCTAAAATTACTCCCTACAGTTTTGGAAGTGTGTGACTCATTTTTATATATAATCATATGATGTTTACCTTTGTTGCTGGACATTTATGTTCTCTGAAAGACAAACAAAACACTATGAGCTACTTGAGATAGTTTACCTGCTTTCTGTTTGCACCTCCATAACACAAACAACAGGCTAGCACATACATATTGAAAACTCACACTCTCCTTTCTCCTAGAATCCAAGAATGTATCTCTTTGCCACTTGACACATACACTTTGGAGTTTGTGACAGTACAATCAATGAACTCATCCTTTCATCCGTAAGAAATGTTACTAATCACTCTTTCTGGTTTTACCTCAAATAGGAAATGTTCATGTAACCTTTTAGAGGTGTTTGCCTTAGATCAGTGCACTTTTTTCCTAAGGCACCTCTCCTGGCAGAAGAATATGAAGTAATGCAGAATCTGGAGGCATAACTCAAAGCTGCATATAGCAAATAAAACACTTCCTTGAACTGCCATGGTTTACCTTTAAAATGCAGGAGAACTTTGCATAATTCACTCAATTCAACAAATAATAGATGCCTATTCGGTGCCAGACATTGTCACAGGCATACAGCAATGAATACACATAGTAGTATTCGTGTTTAATCTTATAATACTTCATACAACTTAGCATAAGTAGAAAAACAAAAGCAAAAATTTTCCCAAATCCAAGAGCAAAACTGAGAATCCAAGATGGCCAATTACTGCTTCAAATACCACCAGTCATGCTTTTGCGCATCCTGGGACTATGTGTGCTCCAGTTTGAGAAGTAGAGTCTTTGGTTAATTCCCATAAAATAAAAGCAATATTAAAGTTAACATTTACTTTGGATGAAAATACTTGGGAGTATCATTACAACAAACTCTGAGTCTTCATTTCCATATCATCAGGTTCTGCCTACATTCTGAAATGACAAAGATGGAATCCACTTCAATACTTAGAGAAAACATATAAAACTTACACTTCAGGGGCGCCTGGGTGGCTCAGTCAGTTAAGCATCCAACTCTTGATTTTGGCTCAGGTCATGATCTCATGGTTCCTGAGTTTGAGCCCCATGTCAAGCTCTATACTAGACAGTGCAGAGCCTGCTTGGGATTCTCTCTCCCTCTCTCCCTCTCTCCCTGCCCCTCCCCACCCCTTTTCAAAATAAATAAACTTAAAAAAAAAAACAAAATCAACCATATACTTTAAAAAAGTCTTGTGCAAGAGGGAGGTAGAATCATTCTTGACACTTTAAGGTCAAGTCCTCACTGACCTCAGCACTATATTGTTCATCATTGCTTTTCTTACCCTTAATTAAACTACTCTCAAGTTCTTTTTTTTTTTTTTTAAACATTTATTCATTTTTGAAAGACAAAAAGAGACAGAGTGTGAGCAGTGGATGGGCAGAGAGAGAGAGGGAGACACAGAGTCTGAAGGAGGCTCCAGGCTCTGAGCAGTCAGCACAGAGCCCGACACAGGGCTCAAACCCACAAACCGTGAGATCATGACCTGAGCCGAAGTCAGACACTCAACCGACTGAGCCACTCAGGCGCCCCAACGGCTCTCAAGTTCTTAATGCATCTACTGATCAGCTTCAGAAAGGATCTCTTCTTAGAAAAAGTCTCACACAACACAAATTTTTGGACTTCTCTCTGTAGAGAAATGACAAACACTACTGGTATTCCCTTCTATTGGTCAGAACCAAAGCTGGTGAAAAAGTATTACATTCCTCAATGATAGTATTATATTCCTCAATTTTGTCTTAAATAATTTGATTTTAACCATAAACCTAAATCCAAAAATAAACATGGGATTGATACTGCTTATCTGTGGATGTGTAATACGTGTATTTTTGAAAGGAGGCAGCTATTTGTAATAGCACAAGTAATTCCCTATTAGGATTAAGATTCAATTTTCCAAAGTTGCAGTGCCTAGATAACCTGCATGAAGCCTGGCTCTCCTACCTGGGGTCCCCAAATCAATCATTCCAAGCTATGATGAAGAAGGTCTCACAAGTACATGAATGTAATGTGTGTTCTCTTGCAGACACTGCACAACCCCCAAAATCCAGACCTTTCCAGACTGGTTAAATTCGAAGAGTGGAGGAACATCACAATGTATCTATTTCACAACTACAGGACTATGGTTCTGAATAAGGAGTATGCAACAGTATCACCCGTGTCACCGGCATGAGCTTTCACTGTTTTAAAATTCAGATTAAGGTCAGTGTTTAATAACCTCAACTGCAGAGGGCCTACAAGTGCACACCTTGGAATAACCACAAAGGATTCTGATTCAAACACTACCATAAGACTAAAGGCCTTTGTCATTCTGACTATATTCAGGTTTCTGGTTTTGCAAAGACTTAAATATATCATGCCCAAAGGCTAGAATTCAGAAGGCTTAATGTTCTCTTCACCTCTGTTCTCTGACATTTTATATTAATGACAACACTTAGAATCCAAAAGCATCACTGTCTCCCACATAAAAATTCCAAGTTATTACAACTCCTTGTATATGAGCCCACACCTGTACACAGTAGCAGACTGTCTTCTAGTCTTAGTGTTATAGGCTGGATCTCTAACGCTACATGATTTTATATGTATGACCTTACTCCTAAACAATAAGAGGGACTCAACATTTTATATTTGAAATTTTAAGGTCAGTTTATTAAGTTCAATGATGAAAGCTATCAGAAGAATATTCTCCTGAGAATTATTTTTTCTTAGAAAAAAAGAAAGAAAAATCAACACCTCAGCACAGCCACAGATGCTGTGGCAGTCACGCCTCTCTGCGGATGCGGATAGTCCATTAGTCAGTCAAATCACTCTCTGGGTCAGCAGGATTGTAGTCTGGATCATCATCATCATCCTCTAGCTCCAAGTCATCCATTTCCTGGAACAGAGATTCATCTACCTCCACATTGTTTCCAGCTGTAAAAGACAAAACATTTCACCTTCAGTCTTATGCTCAGGAGTAAAAGATGTAATGCACTGGCGACAGCAAACTTCTAAATGTGCCAGTGAGATGCCAGTGATGAAATCTGAAACTACTACTGCAAATCATAGTTACAATGATCTAAGCAGCAGAGGCACATTTTTAGTTTTTTTTTAAATGTTTATTTATTTTCTAGAGAAACAGAGTGCGAGCGGGGGAGGGGCAGAGAGAGAGCGAAACACAGAATCCGAAGCAGGCTCCAGCCTCTGAGCTGTCAACACAGAGCCTGATGCGGGGATCTAACTCATGGACCACGAACGAGATCATGACCTGAGCCGAAGCCGAACGCTTAACAGACTGAGCCACTCAGGCACCCCCTTTTTTTAAATGTTTATTTATTTAGAGAGAGACAGCAAAACCATGCGCATGAGCGGAGGAGGGGCAGAGAGAGAGGGAGAGAAAGAACCCTAAGCTGGCTCCGCATGGTCAGCGCAGAGCCTGATGCGTGGCTCAATCTCACAATCCATGAGATCATGACCTGAGCCAAAATCAAGAGGTGGACATAACTGACTGAGCTACTCAGGCGCCTCAGAAGAGACACATTTTAAAAACAACTTCCTGCTTCCAGTTCAAATTCTAAAAAACCCCATTATAAAAAAAGCCTTCCTAGAATGAGTTATTTATGATGTGGCATTTTATAAGTTGGAGATGATGATATGTCCTGGATTTACAAAGTTGATTATTACTGACAATGGTGCCTGTACCAGTTCATCTCTTCCAACAGTGGCAGATACATACATCACCAAACTCAACTCTACTTGCTATTTAATTGATAGGTATAACTTGATCTTCACTCTCACTCAGTTCCCATTATAACTAATAGTATGCTTTTCTCAAATTCCAAATGTCTGAGTCCTACAGGAAGCAATACATAGGCCTTGCATTAAACATCTTTACTTTTCAGTTTGAAGTACATAAAGGTCAGATATTACAGTACTTAAATCACCAAAAATTCTTCATCTTCCTTTCCTATGAGACTCTAGTCCACTGACATTGAGTCTTGCTTCATGCCTATGAGCAACTGAGTAATAAAATACACTTTTGTAGGGGTGGCTGGGTGGCTCAGTCAATTAAGCGGCTGACTTCGGCTCAGGTCATGATCTCGCAGTCCGTGAGTTCGAGCCCCGCGTCGGGCTCTGTGCTGACAGCTCAGAGCCTGGAGCCTGCTTCGGATTCTGTGTCTCCCTCCCTCCCTCCCTCTCTCTCTCTGCCCTTCCCCCACTCATGCTCTCTGTCTCTCAAAAATGAATAAATGTTAAAAAAAATTTTTTTTTAAGAAAATATACTTTTGTTAAGTACAGGCCAAAGAATAACTCACTCTCTCGGGGAGAGGCAGGGAAGACTTCCCAGAACAGATAACATCTGAAATATCTTTACAATAAATTTGAACTCACTAAGAAGAAAAGGGGCCAGATAAAGCAACTATAGGTAGAAGTATATGCAAAGGCAGAAAGAAAAATAAGACTTTGAATACTTCTAACCGGAACAAAAGATTCTTGAGGAAAAATATCTAGAGATATCATAAATGAAGGCCAAACAGAAGGATTGTATAGGCCAACCTTTTCCTCTAAGCAACAGAGAATCCTCAAAGGATTTTAAGAAGAGAAGTGTCATGATTACACATGAGTTTTAGGAACGTCAGCTCAGGGGCGGTGACTAAAGGCAGTAAAAGAGAAAGACACTGGAGCAGGGAGACAATGTAAGAAACCACAACACACACCCAGGTAAAAAATGATAAAACCTCCACATCAGGAGGAAACAGCTTTTGGTGAGTGATTGGATATGAAGAGATACTTGATCTGTTAGACACAGTCAGGAGTCAAGAATGAGTGAAGACAGTAAAACTTCTAAAGTGTAAGAAAGACTGAGACACACACAGCTTTTTGGTTCCAGAATTTCTCAATAACAGAGGAGAAAAACAAGCTAGTAACATGCGAGGGGGATAGATGAGGATATCCTTGCTGGGTCTGTTTGTTTGTTTGGGGGGTGGGGGGGAGTTGTTTGTTTGAGACTAACAAATATCTTGGAACCAGAATGCAATAAAATACACAAAACAAAATGCTGAGTGTCCCTAAGGGTCCAGCTCAGGTTAAAAACTATGATTTAGGGGGGAAGGGTTAAGACAGCAGAGCACATGAAGACCCTGAGCTTGTCTCAGTCCTTGAAACACAGCTAGATCAGCACCAAATCATTTTGAACACCTAGGAAATTTATCTGAGGATTAATGCAGCAATCTGCAGAAAGTAACCCACAGAAATCGGCAGGTATGTGGTACAGGAGAGGTGAACAGGGGGAGAGAAAAGCCACGGAAGGTAGGGAGCTATTTTCGCAGAGAGGGAAGAGAAAAAGAAAGGGGGTGAGTGCAGCACATCAGGATTGTGCAAGAAAAGCACTCCCCCGAAAGTAGCTAGAGAGAAAAAGAAAGAGTGAAAATATTCACAGGGGACTGAACAAGAAATCTGTTCACCTAAACCCATCATGGGGAGAAAGGAGAGGGTGTCAATACCACCAGGATTCTGTTAACAGTGCAGCGCAGAATCTCAAGTTCCAGAGCTCGGTGCCTGGCATTGTTCTAGTGAGGAAGCAGGGCGAATCCCCAGGAGAAGGCAGTGCAGTCTGAGGGGCCTGTGTCCCACACAGGGAGAAGTGTTTCTCCTGCTTGGAGAGCATTTGGTAGCAGCCATATCGCCTCCCCAGAAGCAAAAGATCCCAGCAGACCCTGGAGAGCAGTCACAGTCACTGATACTGGGACAAAGACACCAGAATGCAGTGAAAACTGGCCCTAGCTGCGTGTTCCATTTGCCTTAATCTCTGAACCTCTGCAGCCGTGCAATCGCACGAACATCTTCTGGGGTAAGCAGGCACCCAGCCATTGCTCAGTGAGACCCTCCTCCAGAGTTAGTGCAGGTCCAAGCCACAGGAGTCTCTCAAGCGTGCGGTTTTGAAACACAGTCTAATCTGAAATAAAACTCTGGAGGGAAGTGCCTGCCACCTGGCAGGCAAACAGCCAGGGTAGAGGCAGGAAGTGGACGGAGGCCTGAGATACAGGAGGAGTTTTTGATGGCAGGTTGGTGAGAATGCAAAGTTCCCGCGCCAGAGACTGGTGAGCTGGCTGAAGCCAATTCCACTTCCCAGGAGCACCCACACAGATCCACCCCAGTAACCTAAGCAGCACCACCTAGCGGAGAACGGAGCCATTACATCAAGCCCCGCCAAATGCCCTCCAAGCACATCCCCTAGAATAGCACAAGCTTCATTGTTGGCTGGTTAGAGTTTCATTAGTGTTTCATTGTTGGATGGTTATAATTTATTTGTTCGTTTTCTTTGTTTCTGTTTTTACTTAAATAGTTCTCTTTTTTCTTACTTTTCTTTCTCTCTCTTAGATGCAGAAAGAGAAAAATTTATTTTACTTTTTTATTTTTTTAAATGTTTTATTATGTTTCATTTTATCTTATTCTATTTTTTTACACAAATTATTTTTCATTTTTAAATTTCTTACTTTTTTTTTTCTTTCCCTTTTGTCCCTATTCTATCAAGCCTCTTTCAACAAGCAGACCAAAACACACCTAGGGTCTAACTTCCTTTGTTTTTTCTTGTTTTAATTTTTTTATTTTATTAATTTTTCTTCTTCCTCCAAAATGACAACACAAAGGAATTCACCCCAAAAGAAAGAACAGGAAGAAATAGCAGCCAGGGACTTAACACATATATGTTAGAGCAGAAATCAATGATATCGAGATCAAAAAAACAGTATAACGGATCAATGAAACCTGGAGCTGGTTCTTTGAAAGAATTAACAAAATTAATATGCCCATAGCCAGAGTGATCAAAAGCAAAAGGAAAGGACCCAAATAAATAAAATGAAGAATGAAAGAGAAGCGATTATAACCAACACTGCATAAATATAGACAAGAGACTATCATGAGCAGTTTATATGCCAACAAATTGGGCAATCTGGAAGAATGGACAATTTCCTAGAAACATATAAACTACCAAAACTGAAACAGGAATAGAAAATTTGACAGACCCATAACCAGTAATGAAATAGAATTAGTAATCAAAAATATCCCAACAAACAAGAGTCCAGGGCCAGATGGCTTTCTAGGGAATTTTACCAAACATTTAAAGAAGAGTTAATACCTATTCTTTTGAAGCTGTCCCAAAACATAGAAATGGAAGGAAAACTTCCAAACTCACTCCACAAGTCCACCATTACCTTGATTCCAAAACCAAAGACCCCACTACAAAGGAGAACCACAGACCAATTTCCCTGATGAACATGGATGCAAAAATTCTCAACAATATACTAGCCAACTGGACCCAATAATACATTAAAAGAATTATTCACCATGATCACGTGAGATTTATTCCTGGGATGCAGACATATCAATATCTATAAATCAATCAATATGATACATCACATTAATAAAAGAAAGTATAAAAACCACATGATCCTCTCAAGAGATGCTGAAAAAGCATTCAATACAGCATCCTTTCTTGATAAAAACCCTCAATAAAATAGGGATAGAAGGATCATACCTCAAGATCACAAAAGCCATATAGAAAAGACCCACCGCTAATATCATCCTCAACAGGGAAAAACCATGAGCTTTCACGCTAAGGTCAGGAACACGACAAGGATGTCCACTCTCACCACTGTTAATTCAACTTAGTGTTGGAAGTCCTAGCCTCAGCAATCGGTCAACACAAAGAAATAAAAGGCATCCAGATTGGCAAGGAGGAAGTCAAACTGTCACTCTTTATAGACAACATGATAGTCTATGTGGAAAACCCAAGACTCCACAAAAAAAAAAAAAATGCTAGAACTGACACATGAATTCAGCCAAGTCACAGGATATAAAGTCAATGTACAGAAATTGGTTGCATTTCTATACACCAATAATGAAGCAGCAGAAAGAGAAATCAAGGAATCAATCTCATTTACAATTGCACCAAAAAACATCAAATACCTAGGAATAAACCTAACCAAAGAGATGAAAAATCTATACATTAGAAAACTATAGAGAGCTTATGAAAGAAACTGAAGACACAAAGAGATGGAAAAAACATTCCATGCTCATGGATTGGAAGAATATTGTTAAAATGTCGATACTACCCAAAATAATCTACATATTCAATACAATCCTATCAAAATAACACCAGCATTCTTCACAGAGCTAGAACAAACAATCCTTAAATTTGTATGGAACCAGAAAAAGACCCCAAAGTAATGCTGAAAAAGAAAATCAAAGTTGGAAGCATCACAATTCCAGACTTCAAGATGTATTACAAAACTGTAATCACCAAGACAGTATGGTACTAACACAAAAATAGACACATGGATCAATGGAACAGAATAGAGAACCCAGAAATGGACCCACAAACATATGGCCAACTAATCTTTGACAAAGCAGGAAAGAATACCCAATGGAAAAAAAAACAGTCTCTTCAGCAAATGGTGTTGGGAAAACTGGACAGCGACATGCAGAAGAATGAACCAGGACCACTTTCTTACACTATACACAAAAATAAACTCAAGATGGATGAAAGATCTAAACGTAAGACAGGAAGCCATCAAAATCTAAAGAAGAAAGCAGGCAACAACCTCTTTGACCTTGGCCACAGCAACTTACACGTCTCCCGAGGGAAGGGAAACAAAAGCAAAAATGAACTATTGGGACCTCATCAAGACAAAAAGCTTCTGCACAGTAAAGGAAATCATCAGCAAAACTAAAAGGCAATTGACGGAATGGGAGAAGATATCTGCAAATGACAAAGCAGGTAAAGGGTTAGTATCCAAAATCTATAAAGAAATGATCAAACTCAACACCCAAAAAACAAATAATCCAGTGAAGAAACAGGCAAAAGATATGAACAGACACTTTTTCCAAAGAAGACATCCAGATGGCTAACAGACACATGAAAAGATGCTCAACATCACTCATCACCAGGAAAATACAAATCAAAACCACAACAAGATATCACCTCACGGCTGTCAGAATGGCTAAAATTAACAACTCAGGCAACAGATCTTGGCAAGGATGTGAAGGAAGAGGAACTCTTTTGCACTGCTGGTGGGAATGCAAACTGGTGCAGCCACTCTGAAAAACACTATGGAGGTTCCTCAAAAAATTAAAAATAGAACTACCCTACAACCCAGCAATTGTACTAGGTATTTATCCAAAGGATACAGGAGTGGTGTTTCGAAAAGGCACATGTTTACAGCAGTACAATCAACAACAGCCCAAGTATGGAAAGAACCCAACTGTCCATCAACTGATGAATGGATAAAGAAGATGTGGTGTACACGTGTGTGCGCGCGTGCACGCACGCGCGCGCGCACACACACACACACACACACACACACACTGGAATATTACTTGGTGATCAAAAAGAATGAAATCTTGCCATTTGCAACAATGTAGATGGAACTAGACTGTATTATGCTAAGCAAAATAAGTCAGTCAGAGAAAGACAAATATTGTATGATTTCACTCATATGTAGAATTTAAGATACAAAACAGATGAACATAGGGAAGCAAAAATAATATAAAAACAGAGAGTGAGACAAACCATAAGAGACTCTTAAATACAGAGAACTGAGGGTTTCTGAAGGGGCGTTGAGTGGGGGGAAGGGCTAAAGGGGTGAGGGACAATAAGGAGGACACTTGTTGGGATGAGCACTGGGTGTTATATGCAAGTGATGAATCACTAAATTCTACTCCTGAAATTATTATGATACTGTATGTTAACGAACTTGGATTTAAATTAAAAATAAATAAAATAAAAAGAAACATGATTTAGCAGGGAGGCCACAACAAAATTTTTTTTTAATTTTTTTAGAAGTTTATTTATTTTTTGAGAGAGAGAGAGAAAGTACGAATAGGGGAGGGACAGAGATAGAATCCCAAGCAGGCTCCAGACTGTCAGCATGGAGTCCACTGTGGGGCTCGAACTCACAAACCATGAGATCATGACCTGCGATCATGATCTGACCCGAAGTCAGATGCTTACCTGACTGAGTCACCCCAGGGGTACCTCAACATTGTTTCTTAACCTTTTCCAGGAGCTAGTCCAGGAACAAGGTTGAAAGACCAGAAGCTGTAGTACCCAACTGGCAAGACAGGCATGAGAAGGCTAATGAAGTGAAGAACTCTAGGATGCTATCAGAAGTATGACTGTGTATTGAGCCCAGTTTAAGAAACACACAAAGGCCATAAGCTCTAGGAGGGCAGGGAAATTTGTCGATATTGCTATATCCTCAGCAGCCAGGACAATGCTTAACTTATACTAGGGGTGCAATAAATATCTGTGTATGGATGAATAACGGATGGACAGAAAAATGAAAAGGAGTAAAGTCTAAGATAAAAAGAAGAAGGAAAGCACAAGGAACTAAATGTTCCAGATAGTAAGAATTGTATGAAATTTAAGATTTTTGGTTAGAAGGCATGAGGAGTTTCAGATTTGAGGTTTTTATAAAGTCCCATGACCATGAAATACAGTTTCCACAGATTTCTGATACTAGAAAGTTGAGTAAATCGGGTGTTACAGAGGCCTGGTTTACTAGTTATTAGAGGTGAATGCAACCATAGCTATTTACAGCTATCTTTGATGTTGTTTAACTTACCAGAAAACTTTAAAAAATACATTACTATAGGTTAGTGTATTAATTGATAAAACATTACAATTTATTCTTCAAAATGTATTTGACTATAGTCTTTGGAGAAAAATTTTACACTAAGTTAGAACTTTTTCATGGTTTAATATTAAAAATAGTGGATTACACACACATGGAATTTTAGCATTATCTTACCATCCTCCAAAAACTGGATATCAGATGTGTCAAGATTATGGTCTGTTTCAAATAGCTGTTTCCCTAAAAGAAATAAGTATGTTTAATATAAACATACCTTTCCTCTATGTTCCATAGTTTCCCATGTTTCCAAATTTTCCTCCATCTTCCCAAACCCTTTAAAAAGTATACTAATCCAAGAAAACAAGTCTGAAAACTTATTTTTGTAACTTCTAATAAATGTATCAACTCAGTAAGTAGCTAAGAAGCATGTGATATGTATTTGCATTAAAACGGAAGAAGTGAAAACCCAGTCTGCTTTAGAGTCCTAGAAAAACAAATGCATTGGACTCTACCACTCCTAATGCCTGTCAGATTCTGAAGGTCATATAGCAGCTGTATCTCATGATCTATCCATTGTAATATCTAGATCAAAGATAAGCCATAAAAATTAATTCTAATTATAAACAAAGAAATATCATCATGTACACAGAATGCTTTCTTTTTGTCCTAGATCCCTAAGTACATTCTTTTCTTAAAGAAATTTGTCTATGTGATCATCTTGCTGTGTAAGAATTAGATAACTGGAGGGAAAGTCTGGGGGAGGGAGTCTCATACCACTTAATTTATTTTTTCCTGCTTGCTCTTCTTCTTTCATTCGTTTCTTTTTAATTTCCAAGAGTTCTGCATCAAACTTGGCCTTCCAACTTAAGAAATTCTCAATTGTAACAGGAGTGCCATGAAATAATTGCTTAGAAAATAAAAAAGACATGTGGCCAGATGAGACATTTATAATCTACAACAGAATTGTAACTTATAAAAAAATAATGTATAGTTCTCAATTTTACCTGCATGAGCTCTACTAACCTTTAATAACTGATTATTAATTAATTACTCATGCTATGTAACCAATGCAGTGAGGGACTTCTAACATTTTACTTAGTAAAGCCTAAGTAAAATTTACTTTTATTTTGTGATTGCCAAAACATGTACTGAAATTTCCAAAAACAAAAACAAAACCAAACCCACCAACTAACCAAAACAAAACAAAACAAAAAAAAACAGATTAAAAGAATAATGAAAGAAAACCCAGCTTTATAATATACCTTTTCAGCTTCCTCCGCTTCTTTTTCTTTTTGTTTCTTTTCTTCTTCTCTTCTAGTTTTTATTTGATCTACTATTTCATTTAATTTTTCTTGCACAGCTGTCACTAAAGTAAAGATCATCACCATACCAAGATTTTCTTCTGCCTATGTAACCAAAAGAAACAAAACAAAGGTTGTAGTGAGAAACATGCTTTTCAGAAAAATTTAAAAAATTAAATGAAAAATATTTCATTGTTATCACTAAATCCCATACATTTATAATATGATTACTAATTCAGTTGCACCATAAGTTCGGACACTTGGATAAATGATCATTTAAGAAGTGAGCACAGATATACATGTAGATGAATAATTAAATTTTAAAAGATACGTAATTTGCTACAACTAACCTAAAACAGACAATTTACTAAATTCTGTTAAATAATCATAAATGTAGGTAGAATTCAGAAAACATTTTCCTACAGCAGCTAGTAACATGAGTTTTCTAGAATATTTTCATGATTTTAGATCTTTTGAGGTACTTTAAGAGCTATGGGAATAAACTGAACTTTGAGGCCAAAGTGATTTTCTAATATACAATAATAAAGAATGTAGGTACTTTTGTGATTTATCTTTACCTACCTTTTTTTTCTTCAGTTTGACATGGCTTAAAATCAAATATAAAAGCTCTCCAACTCATGAAAGGGGTCTATAGTTGCCCTTAAACAATACAGGTTTGAATCGCATGGGTCCACTTACATGCAATTTTTGTTTTCAATAAATACAGTATAGTACTGTAAATGTATTTTTTCTTCCTTATAACTTTCTTAATAAAATTTTCTATAGCTTATTGTAAGAATATAGTATGCATGTAGTACATATGTCATACAAAATATGCATTAATTGACTATTTATGTTATAGTTAAAGCTTCCTGTCTGTTAATAGTTTTGGGGGAGTCCTAAGTTACACGAAGATTTTCGACTGTGTGGAAAGTCAGTGACCCTAACCCTCTGTGTTGTTCAAGGGTCAACTGCAATTCAAAAGCTATTCAGAAGGTGGTCATTTCAAAGCAGAATAAAATAAAACAAGATACCTTGCTTATCCACAGAAACAAGACACACATGCAAAAAAAAAAAAAAAAAAAAAAAAAAAAAAAAAATCCAAAATATACAAGCCAGAACCTTAATCCTAGAAGCAGAAGAGATTTCCAAACATTCCTTTGACAGGCTGGACTCAGCAGCATCTGAGTAGGTATTTCATCTCCTGGGCCCTTTGTGAATACAAGGCTTCAAGCCAGCTTCTCTTCCCTGGAGCTTTTCTTATGGTGTGTCTGTCCATGCTAACTATTCTAAATCTGACACTAAACAAACCTCTCTCCCAAAGACCAAATCCATATTAAAACTACCCAGTGGACAGCAATATGATGTCCCAAAGGCATGTCAACACTGAAACCATCATCTTCTCCAAAAAACCTATTTGGGTTCTCTAACTCAGAGAACCAACCATCCACCCGGCATGAACACTCACATCACATCATAAATTCTATCACCACCTCTAATCTATTCTTAAATATCATTTAAGTCTGCCTACTGTTCTCTATCAGCACGGTTATTACCCTAACCCAGGACACCATCAACTTCAACTTGGAATATTACAAGAAAATCCTAACAGGTTTTCTTAAAACCTGTGGTCTTGTCACCCCTGACATCAACTTCTCTGGCCACTCAGTACACACCCAAAACTGATCTTGTCAGTCTCTTCGTTAAAACCCCTCAATAGTTTCCCAAACCCACCGGGAGCAAGACCATAGTTTTAAAATAGTTCTAAAGACCCTTAGGGAATGAATCGCTTTAGTTCCATCATATAGTATCAATAACCCCAAATTTCTAAGCTCAAGAAATTTAGTATGACTGAAGTTCTGGAAGGAAATAATGAGCTCTTTTCTCTCACTTACATGACACTTAACAAGCTTGCTCCTCTACCTTAAAACTCTACTCTTTATTGCCTGGCAAACTCTTCCTCTTGAAAGCTTCTCCAGTGCCTCAAGCCTATGTCCACTCTTATAATCTTGTACTTCACCCATCACAGCACTTTTCACACAGAATAATAATTTCCAATGTGCTAGTCCACATTCCTCACCAGAACATAAAATCTATTATAGGGAGGACTGTGTCTGCCTTAAGTCACTTAATCTAATGCTCAATACATTTCAAAAACAAATCCCAGTAGGATCTCTTTTTTAACAACCTAAGTATTCCAATAGAAAAGCAAAAAAAGGGGGCATGTGGGTGGCTCAGTTGGTTGAGCGTCTGACTTTAGCTCAGGTCATGAGGTCACAGTTCGTGAGTTCAAGTCTTGCATGGGGTTCACAGCTGCCAGCACAGAGCCTACTTCGGACCCTCTGTTCCCCCCCCACCCCCGTCCCTCTCCCATTCATGCTCTCTCTCTCTCAAAAATAAACATTAAAAAAAGAAAACAAAAGCAAAAAAAGAATCATTCATGGAACTAGAAAACTAGAAGTCACACAACAGATTTCCCTATCACTACTAACTAAAGAATTTCAAATTATGATTCTACACTATCTTCCATCTTGTCATCATTTTTTCTTTCCAAATGAAAAAACCTAATGTTAGCAGATGGAGGCAGACACCTCAAGGGCTACAATGAGATCATAACATGGCACAATCATTCTGAAGGTCAATTTGGCAGTGTGTATAAAATTAAGTAGGCATAACCTTTAATCCAGTAATCTTACTTATAGAAAACACTGAGCTAGTATACTCATCAATAATATACTCTTTTCATCTATTCAAAAAATAGCTAAGTGTCTACTATGTGCCAGGCACTAAGGATTCAATGGAGACTCTGCTCTAAGGATTTAAACACCTGGGTGGCTCAGTCGGTTAAGCGTCCGACTTTGGCTCAGGTCATGATCTCATGGTTTGTGAGTTCAAGCCCCATGTCGGGCTCTGTGCTGACAGCTCAGAGCCTAGAGCCTACTTTGGATTCTGTGGCTCCCTCTCTCTCTGTCCCTCCCCCACTCACGCTCTGTCTCTGTCTCTCAAAAAATGAATAAACGTTAAAAAAAAAATTTAAGGGGTGCCTGGGTGGCTCAGTCAGTTAAGCATCCGACTTAAGCTCAGGTCATGATCTCACAGCTCGTGGGTTCAAGTCCCACGTCAGGCACTGTACTAACAGCTCGGAGCCTGGAGCCTGCTTCGAATTCTGTTTCCCTTTCTATCTTCCCCTCCCTCACTCGTGTTCTCCTCTCTCTCTCTCAAAGGTAAACATTAAAAAAAAATTAACAACAAAAAATTTCTTAAAAAGAATGTTCAAAGATTTAAATATTAAATCAGGCAAAAATGAGAAGTAATTAAGTTGTTTCAAAAAAGATGTGTATAATTACACATATAGTGAAATTCTATGCGGTTATAAAAAATGATTCATATACATGTTTACTTAAATGGAAAGATACCCACATATATTGTTATGTGAAAAAAAGGATATTATGATACATTATGTATAGAATGATTTAAATTGGGGTAGAAGAGGGGTATTATGAATATAAGCATAAGAAAAAAGTCTGGAACTATATCACACCAAAATGTTAATAGGTAGTTCTACCTCACTGGTAAGATGAAGAGTATTTTTAATTTTCTTCTTCATGAGTTTCTGTATTTTCTGGAGCTTTAATAATATGAATTTATTATTTTGATAACTAAAAATCAATACTATTTTGAGAGAAAAAGTACAAATATTCCCTCAGTATATCTGATCTCAGCTAAGTAGGAGAAAGAGATCAAAACTTTTCTGAAAGGAAGGAGCTGGAGTATAAAAATATAAAACACACAGAAAGCAATCACTCAGATCAAATAACTTACATTAGTATATGAATGAATATAAGCAAGCATGTATCCCAGGTTCTCTGCAATGTCTTAAAATGAAGCATTTTAAGCCAAATATTAGAATTAGTATAATTTCATACTGAGTGGCAGAGTGAACACAGCCCAGGATAAGCATAAATTCATGTTTAATATATCTTCTTTTACTTTTCATTCTCTAATAGCTCCAGATATTTTTCAAATATCAGCATTCAGAGGACAAACAGTCCTTGAAATATACCAGTCACATTTAAGGTATAGACAGGGCTTCTGTCAACTCTTGTTAGAAGAAACAAACAGTACTAGGACTTCTGTTTATAACATGGTGGAGTTAAGATTTTATTTGTCCTCCCTACTTCCTACTTTGAAGAACCCGTGAAAACTCTTTACCCAAGCAAGAGAGAGCTTTAAATACTGGTTAAAACCAGACTGCAGGTAGCCTATCCCACCAAAGAACTAGCCAAGAACTTTCCAGTACCCATTTTTTCTTCCATACACCCACGCCCCCCACCCCCCACTTCAGAGGGATCATAAACCCTTGTTGCTGCTTATAAGCTTGGGGAGAAGGAAAGATAAGAAGAAAACAAAACAAAACAATCACCAGTCCTCATCCCAGATTACAAGCAACTAGCCTGCAACAGGTCAGAGGGGTTGGGAATTTTAGTTTTTTTTAAAGTCAGAATTTTTAACCATACATGGGACTGGAAATTCTGGGAACCACATCAAAACTGCATTTAAACTTAAAGTACCTATTAGATACTTTATTAACTAAAAGTCATGAGGGGACACCTGGGTGGCTCAGTCAGTTAAACGTCCCACTTCAGCTCACGTCATGGTTTCTTGGTTCGTGGGTTCGAGCCCACATCAGGCTCGCTGCTGTCAGTGCAGAGCCAGTTTTCAGATCCTCTGTCCCCCTCTCTCTCTGCCCCTCCCCCCCACATGCATTCACTTGCTCTCTGCCTCAAAAATAAAGAAACATTTAAAAATATACTTTATAAGTCATGAGGCTGACTGGGTTTCAAACCAGGATATAGGCACAACTTTTCTTACTCAAATTTTAAACGTATAATGAGACACAAAAACTAAAAATGTTTGTGAATACATATATATATATATATATATATATATATATATATATATATATATATATATAAACAGATACATCACAAATTCTCCCTGTTCAGTGAACTGGTTATACATATTTAATAGCATTTTCTAACTCTTAAAATTAATGTATACTCTTTAATGCCAGTTAAAAAAAATGCTATTACAAAACTTATTTCCTTACCTGTAATGCTAATAGTTTTAAAATGTCTGAGACATCATTATCTTCTAGATTTTCCTGGGAGAATATTTCATAAAGAGGGGCTTCATCTGGGTATTTTTCACTGTATGTAAACTTGAGGGTAGTCTGGACAGCTAAAGACATAAGAGTTTGAAAATGAATCTCTTACAATGTAAAGTGCAGAGAGGTCACCATCTTTGTTGAATCAATCATTAATTTACAATGTGTCAATGAAAAGTAGCACAACAGATTTTCCTGCAAAGAAAAACAAGGTTACTATGAAATCAGACAGATAGTCTAGGATAAGTAACATATACCACAAAGGTAAGTGAAAATAAATCACGGGAATAAAAAAAATCACCTCTGACACATGAAATACATTTATTACTTACGAGTATTTTACCATATTGCATGTCTAAGAAAGAGAATGAATAAAAGCCTCTCTTTTTGAAACCCTCCTTGGGGCTCCTGGGTGGCTCAGTCGGTTGAGCATCTAACTTCGGCTCAGATCACGATCTTGTGGTTTGTGAGTTCAAGCCCCGCGTTGGGCTTTGTGCTAACAGCTCAGAGCCTGAAGCCTGCTTTGGATTCTCTGTTTCCCTTTCTCTCTGCACCCAACTCCAACTCACACTCTGTCTCTCTCTCCCTCTCTCAAAAATAAATATTAAATAAATAAATAAATAAATAAATGAATAAATAAATCCTCCTTAAGACAAACAAAAGGCACAGAATATAACACACAGAAAAAGTACTACCTAACAACGTGGATGGAATGAGAGTATATTATGCTAAGCAAAATAAGTCAGAGAAAGACAAATCTCATATGATTTCACTCACATATAGAATTTAAGAAAAATAGATGAACATAGTGGAAGGGAAGGAAAAATAAGATAAAAACAGAGAGGGGGACAAACCATCAGAGACTCTTAAATATAGATAACAAACTGGGGGTTGATAAAGAGGAGGTGGGGGGGATGGGCTAAATGGGTGATAGGCATCAAGGAGGGCACCTGTTGGGATGAGCACTGGGTGTTATATATAAGTGACGAATCACTAAATTCTACTCCTGAAACCAACACTACACTGTATGTTAACTGACTTGAATCTAAAACAAAACAAAAACAAACAGAAAAAAAGAAGAAGTACTAACTTGGGGTCATTGTCAGGCCCTACCAGAGCCAGAACCCAGGGCAGAAGATCTGGTGTTAGCCCTGGAGTCTTCTTTATTTCTATCTGCACAATGCTAGCAGGGCATTGTTAAGGGGTTGCTGCTAGATGACATGGTTTTGAACTGGACGGTTTGAGAGGTTGTCTGAGACACTTTCAACCTGACTCATCTATACATTGTCACTTCTTTTCACCTATGTCATGCATACATCTGACACTTGTATAGGAGTGAGATTCTCACAGGCACATCAGTGCAACGTATCTCTCTACAGCCCAGCCTGGTGAATTCTCAATTCCACCAGGCAATTTGCAACTAAGCAGCAGTGCTTAACATTCTGTATTAAAACTTACTAATCACAATGATCCTTTGTCTATACTTTGCCTTTCTTATAACTTACATTTTAATTTTTTTTTAAGTTTATTTATTTTTGAGAGAGATAGAGGCAGAGCACAAGTGGCGGAGGGGCAGAGACAGAAGGAGACACAGAATCTGAAGCAGGCTCCAGGCTCTGAGCTGTCAGCACACAGCCCAACGTGGGGCTTGAACTCATGAACCGTGAGATAATGACCGGAGCTGAAGTCGGACACCCAACCATCCGAGCCACCCAGATACGCCATAACTCACATTTTGATTATTAAAACCTAATTTTGATAATTTTAACTCAAATCCAGATTCCTCTCCATGAAAGGGAAAAAGAAAAACCTTGAAATATGCAGGTTTGAGATTTTCTTTTAATTTTTGTGTATGATGTCAAAAAGGAATTTTATGAGTCAATGGATATAAGAAACACCGTTATCAGGTCAGTAAGGATACAGTGTCTTTTGGCATTTTCTCTTTTTTTAATTAACATATTTCTAATTTTATTGTTAGAATAAGAACTTTTTAAAACATTTCTTGATTTTACTATATGATGTAATAGATATTCATTATAGAAAATTTAGAAATACATTAAGGGAAAAATAAAATCAATAATAATCCCACCATCAGAAAGAGATCACTGTTTCCTTTTGGGGATATTTAAAGTATCACAGAAGTATTTTTTTAATGTTTATTTATTTGGAGGTTGGCGAGAGGCAGAGAGAGAGACAGAGAAAGAGACAGAGAGAGAATCTCAAGCAGGCTCCATGCCCAGAGCAGAGCCCGACATGGGGCTTGATCCCACGTCCGTGAAATCATGACCTGAGCCAAAATCAAGAGTTGGAGACCCAACTGACTGAGACACCCAGGCACCTCACCTTAGAAGCATTTTTAAAAAGATAGGTTAAAGTATCTTCTATGTATTTATTTACATTTCAAACAAAATATAAAAGCATACTCATGTTGTATTTGAGATTCTATACATAAAACCCATATATATAAATACATATATAAGTAAATGACTATATCCAACATCCTTTTAATTCAGACTTTAGTAATATCTCGGTGCTAATCTCATTTTCAATTGTACAAGACAGATTTAGAGTTATCAAATGATACCACGATTTGAGTGGTATCATTGTAGTTGTATCAAATGATACTACTAAAATTACTAACTGTTCATGGAAGTGGTAGAATTTTAATTGACTAACTTAATGTTAAAAAAAAAAAAAAAATCCTTGGGGTTAACACCAACTTACATGAAGTTTTTACCAAATTCCAATATTAACTGAACTGCACTAAAAGTGGAAATGAACTTCAGATGCTCCCCCAACATCTGCCACGTTTAAATCAATCTATTTAATTTTAATTTATTGGTTTTATAGCTGTTTTGTCTTAGTTCTACAGTTGGATTTTATCTGCCTTTATGTATATACACATTTAAACATCAGTACAACACCCATCCTAAAAAGAGAGAGAAAAACATGAAGAGAGATATTTATTCAGTCTATTTTATAACAGCAAACGTCCAATAAGCAATCTAAATGCCCAGAGAGGACGGGGCGCCTGGGTGGCGCAGTCGGTTAAGCGTCCGACTTCAGCCAGGTCACGATCTCGCGGTCCGTGAGTTCGAGCCCCGCGTCAGGCTCTGGGCTGATGGCTCAGAGCCTGGAGCCTGTTTCCGATTCTGTGTCTCCCTCTCTCTCTGCCCCTCCCCTGTTCATGCTCTGTCTCTCTCTGTCCCAAAAAAAATAAATAAACGTTGGAAAAAAAAAAAAAATTTAAATGCCCAGAGAGGAAAAACAATCATGGAAAAAAAAGTCGCTCAATGGAATACCACATAATCACTGAAATATGTGTGCATTCGAAGTCTTGTTTAGGGCTATAATCCTGACTACATACAATCCAGGACTACATTCCTGAGAGTGACTTAGGAAAACCACAAGTATTTTTGGTTGGACTTACTTTCATCATTTTCTCCAGCCTCAGATGTCACAGTAATGGTGAAACTGGGTGGATTTTCTGATAATACTGTAAGAAAATATACACAGAGATTAAGTTATTAAGATGCTTCCTAAGGCAAATGTTTTTATTTATTAGCAAAATATCACTACCAGGTTCTGGAAACATCCCAGTCTGTAATTCCACTTCCACAAATACAGACTAAACAGAACATTCAAATGATAAAACACTCATAAATTTTCTATTTAAATCTAGGGTTACCTTTAATTTGGAAAAAAAAAATACCTATAGTAGATACACTCTTGGAGTTTTATCAAACCAATTAAAGTAAGTAATTTACCTTTTATTTCAAAATTTCCATCTATACATAGAAAATTGTATTCTAAAAACTTCCAAAATGGAATGACAAAAAAAGTTTGATGTTTTCATCAGAAACTACCCACTGATATTCAGTATTATCACTAATTTTTAAACTTATAGACTCTAAGATATAATTCAGAATCTCCATGACAAACAGTAAATATTAATTTGTTAAAGTTTGTGTTTTCTACCTCTTTCTTCCCCATCATCCTTAGAACCAAACTTTATTCATTCACCAATTATTGAGTCTCTACCACTTTCACCGAATTACAAAATGAGCCATGAATCCAACATCAAATGGTTTACAATTTGTTAAGCAAGTCAAGACATGCAAATCAACATTTATATAAATAAGGAAGTGCTATATACCATTTTATAGCCTGATGCCTACTTGATACTCCAGTATCTGTTTACATCTCTTCCCCCACTAGAATACTATACTATGAGAGCTCCTAGATCAGTGCCTGACAGATCCAGAAATTCAATAAATTCCGGCTAAACAACAGCGCTAAAACAATGGAATGAAAGTTGAAAAGCAAAATCAAATTAAATTTATATTCAGAAACATTAGAAGAGTAAACAAGAAAAATCCAGGCCACCTGTGATTGCTGCTGAGCCCCTGAGAAAAGCCTGTGCCTCACTCCAGCCCTGAGAAGCACTGGCCCCTGTCAAGGCTGGTAGCAGCTCAACAAACTCTTTCTGAAATGAAAGGCCAAGGAGATCTCTGAAGAAGTCACCAAGGAAACTACTCAGCTTTTCCTACTCAAGAACTTCTGAAGCCTTCCTAATTATTCATGATCAATAAAGTTTTCAAGACATATGCCTTCATTTTAACTGAAGTTTAAAAGTACTGTACTTGAAGCACTGATGAACACCTAAGATTACTATAAAAGCATTTTCAAGAAGATAAGCCTCTCTGGACTCAAATTTTTTTTTAATGTTTACTATTTTTGAGAGAGACAGAGACAGAATGTGAGTGGGTTAGGGGCAGAGAGCGAGGAAGACACAGAATCCGAAGCAGGCTCCAGGCTCTGGGCTGTCAGCACAGAGTCCGATGCAGGGCTCAAACTCACAATCTGTGAGATCGTGACCAGAGCCGAAGTCGGACACTCAACCGACTGAGCCACCCAGGCGCCCCTCTGGACTCAAATTTATTTTAATAGGCCTCAGATAGTCCAGCCCATGCTAAAAAGTCCCTGAAAGTTAATTATAATAAAGCTTTAATAATAGGATTGACCCTACTTTTTTTTTGACAAATGTGTGCAAAACATATTAGATATATTTCATTCCTATTTCTTTCCATGACCAACTTTAACATTTACATGTCATAAAATGTAAACATAACAACTATAGAAATAAGGGTTCAACCCAATGATATCCCAACTTATTACCATTTTTAGGACTCTATTAGGCTATAATTTAAGGATTTCCTAGTAACAACAGCTAACATTTATTAAGCATTACTTTGTGCCTGTTATACTACGCATTTACATAAAGATCCTTTAATTCTTACACCAAGACCATGATTCTATAATGTTACCGTATTTCACCAAATTTAAGATGCTACCAAGTATGAGATGCACCCTACTTTATGTACTAAGAAAGAAAGAAGGATCTGCCAATTAAACTACAATATGTAATTGATTATAAGACAAAATTCATATTTCAGAGATGTTAAAACATAAAAATGTCTTACAGCCAATTAAATATAGCATCATCCCAATTTTATAGATGTGGAAACTGAGATAAAAAGCCTTTAAATAATCTGCCCAAGGTTATTCAGCTAGCAACTGGAAGAACTGAATAGACAATAGTGAGTGTCATGTAAAAAGAAAATATTTTTTTCAGCTGAGAAATTCCAAAGAAGTCATTTGAGCTAGGCTGTGAATTAAGGCATACTGGTAAGTAAAGATGGAGAAAAAATGTAGGCAACAGTAACACAGCAGCAAGGGCATAATGAGGGAAAGTTTAAGGAATACATATGGAACAAGAAATTATTCCATTTGGTGAACGTATACGTGGTGAAAAGTAGTTAAAAATACAGTTGATGTGCTCGCTTCGGCAGCACATATACTAAAAAAATACAGTTGAAAGTTTCATTGTGGACAATAACAATTTTTTTTGCAGCAGCAGTATGGTCAGAATTGTACTTCTAAATGTAGGAAGATAAGTCTAGCAACAGAGCATAAATTGGAAGGACAGAAACAAGACTAGAGGTAGGATGAAAGTAGAGAGCTATTAAAATCATCCCAGCAAGGTTAATGAGGTTCAGAACTAGGTCAGCAGCCATGGGAATAGCAGGAAACGGGGAGGACTCTAAGATGGTGATAAATGACATTCCGAATTTGCAGTCAGAGGATGGTGGTGCCACTAATAAAAACAAAAAATACAAAAGAAAAATCAGAGGTGATATATTTAAATGACACAGGGAACTTTCAACTGGAGACAGTGAGTATGCAATATGCAATCAGAAACGGGCAAATGGAGCTAGAGAGTTGAGTTTGAATTTAATTTGGGGTCATACACACAGAGGTGATAGCTAAAGCCATTAGACTAAATGAGATCACCAGAGAGAAAATAGAGAAACAGGGCCAACACCAGCTTTGTAAGGAATCCTAAATTTGAGAAACACAAGAGGAATAAGTGCTAGAGAGAAAAAGCAAAGCAGCAACCATGAGAGGTCAAGACAAACTCAAGGTAAGTCTATTTTGTGAAGCCACTCCATCTACTGAGATCCAGGTCTAGCATGGCAGTGTCTACAACGTGTACCCTATGTGTCTGTGTAGCTCTGCCAGGAGGAAATGGGTGATGGACCCCACTGGCCCTACAAGATCAGATCTAAATCCCTAACAAGGTCCTCTGTAATCTGGCCTCTGCTTCCCCGACGGCTCTCACTTTCCATGACTCTCACTTCTTATTTATGTTCTAGTAATACAAAGCCACTCTTGCTTTGAATGCATTTGCTTTCACAGAGTCCTGCTTCTGCACATACTGTGCCCCGTCCCCCAGTTCCATTCACTTGTTAGCTCCTCATCACCCATCAGTTCTCCAAAACAATCAAGAATCTCCGCTTTTCTTAATGCTCTGGCTGCATGCCATATATTCCTCCAGGAAAGAATCATCACACTATGTTGTAAATTACTTATCTGATGTCTTTTCCCATTAGACTGAGATTCTAACAATGTATACAATAAATAATTGGTAAATGAGGACTTGGGGATGCTAGCAAGAACATCACTGAACTGCCTGACCTTGGGAAAAATATAGAATAAGGTGGCAAGACAGACAAGAAGCTGAAAAATTCTTAATCCATGAGATATCATAGAGGCATGTTCAGTAAAAGAGCTGGAATGAAGAACTGCAGGAGTACAAAGTTTATGGACAGAAAGAGGAATTTCTGAGGCCAGTCTAAAGATGGTATTTACATGCTCCCCTGCAGTTGAAGGAAATGGAAATCAAAACTGTTCAGGAGCCTGGGTGGCTCAGTCGGTTGAGTGTCTGGCTTCGGCTGCGGTCGTGATCTCATGGTTTGTGAGTTCGAGCCCTGCGTCGGGCTCTGTGCTGACAGCTCAGAGCCTGGAGCCTGCTTCCGATTCTGTGTCTCCCTCTCACTCTGCTCCTCCCCCAACTCATGCTCGCGCTCTCTCTCTCTCTCAAAAATAAATAAACATTAAAAAAAAAAGACAAGGAATTATGAAGCCACGTCATTAAAAAAATCAGCAACTAAGATGGTAAATTTCTAGTAAAAAGCATCTTATATTTCTTGTAACAGTTATAGAATATTTGCACATACA